GTAACCGGTAACGTAGTATAGTTGTAGTACTACTACTACCGTACTTAGTAGTAACTACTACTCTAGTGTACTACTATATTATAATAATTAAATTAATATATATATATATATATATATATATATATATATATATATAAAATCTACTAGAGGTCATTGAGAATAATTTATGTATTTTTATACTGGCTAGGGCGATAATAGTAATTTTCAATTTTTTTGGGACGTTGTGTTTGTACGTAGGTACTTCTTAATGGCCAAACCATATTTAAAATGACTAAGGTTAACTATTTCCTAAGTTTTGGTCCTAGGATTAGGATTAAATATAATTTCAAATTCAACCAGCTAAAGACAATGTCTATAGTTCTCCGATACGCATTCAGTACATCTCACACAAGATTCGTGTTTAGAAAATGGAAAACTGGTCAAGGAATGAAATGAAACTGAATAAACTGCTTGAATAGGTTAAAAAATAGATGCTACATGAATAAGGTAGGAATGGAATAAAATAATCTACTTGAAGAAGGGTCTGATTTGTATAAGGTTCAACTGTAAACAATCAAATTAAGGCGTACCTCCAAATTTTATCATAAATATAATTTTGGTAAAAAGGAACTCTTAGGATGACTTGAGAATCTATTTTCGTCTCTAATTATAAAATCTTAAACTCCAAAAATTGTTCAAATCAAGTAGATCTGTAAGCACTTGAAAATCTCTTAAATGGACGGTCCAGATAATGTGTTGCAAAATACACTAGTTTTAGGACTCCAAATATTTATTTATTTATTTTTATAATACATCTCAATGTCGAAATGATCAATTAAAGGGTTTTCCAACATCAAAAGAATCTTTTATGATGGATTAGGTGTACCTTAATTCGCAACCTTATATAAACTTTTCCCCTACTTGAATTCTAGTTATCTAATCATGAAAGGATAATGATTTGAAATGTAAGTTTGATTGAATAACCAGGGTGTTCTTGTTCTTTAGGATCAAGAGATTGGGATTGGCTTTGAAGGTATTCTTATAAGTTGAATTATTTATTCATCAAGCTGAACTTTAGCATCTTTTTTCATAATTTAATAACCATTTTGGAGGATGTGGTGCTCCTCACTTCAAGGCGTGAACCATCCCCATTGTTTTTTGAAAATTATTATCAAAAAAAAGATTGATAATAAGGGCGAGTTTTTAAAAATGTTGGGTAAAACAGTTTATTGCCTGTTATCATTTTTAGACGATAAAAAAAGGAAAAGATAAAAAGTAGGGAATAAGTAAATACTCAGGGTTATTTTTCACCCACAATTGACACATGCATCCTCTTGTTTATGAGAAGAACGTTCTAAAAAAAAATTGTTGAAAAACAAGCATGTAGAATAGGGTTTTCTCAAAGGGATGGAAAATAATGGGAAAGGGGTTGGGGATGTGATGGTAGCACCCCCCACCTATACCTTAGTCGCACATTGTGCTCTCCAATCCCACTGACATTTTCGAAAACCTAACCACTTAAAAAATAGGTAGGGGCCTGTTTTCCCCACTGAATTAACCCCAGAAAAAAAAAGGATGGAAAATAATGTAGTGAACATGACTATCCATATTAAGGAAAAAGTTAGTGTTTGATTGAGGCATTAGAGAGATTTATGGTTAGATGCCTCGACCTTGCCTCTGGATCTAGATGATCTAGTCGCATGTGTCGTGGGTTTCAAGGAAAACCCGGGACTTGAGACCGCTCTCTCAGGAAACTTGTTAAGAAACAAGAGCAGGTACACCAACGGGTGAGAGAGGAATTTGATGTGAGGTAGGACACACTTCACCTGAGTCCGTGACTCACTCGGGCTAACTCGCGTGGATGCCCTCTTAGATCACAACGGAAAGGCCCCCAGTCCTACTGCTGGTTCAAAATCGCCTCCCTTGACATGTACTTTCCTATTTCTGTAATCACACACAATGTTAATTTACAAGACAAGTGACCCAAGGGACCCTACCTTGTTTTTGAGCGAATGTACATTGGCGTACACATTCAAAAGAAGAAACGGAAGAATAATGAGATGAAGATTAGGGTGAGAAAAGGAGAAGAAAGAAATAGAATAGAGGAAAGAGAAGAGAAGAAAGAGAAATTTGACCAAATGGTTAAACTGACACAGTGGCTTGACCAATACAGTGAATGACTAGGTGTGGTAGCAAGACGGGCATGGTGAGTTAGACTGGTACGGCGGCTTAACTACTCAATGACATAATCAATACTGACCAGCCTGACACAATGACTAATCTAATGTGGCAGCAAGACAGGCATGGTAACTCTAATCGGCACAACAGCTAAACTACTCGATGACAAGACCGTCATGACTGTGCTAGACTTAGCCTATCCCTTGGTCAAACAAGAGGAAAAGAGAGAGAAGGAGAAAAGAAGAAGAAAAGAATGAAAGAAAAATAAAGAAGAAAGAGAGAGATTAGATGCAAAGAGAAGAGCAAGGAAGAGGAAAGAGAGAAGAGAAGAAAGAGAGAGGATAGGAGAGAGAAAGAGGAGCAGATAAAAGAGAGAAGAAAGAAGAGAGAGAAAAGAGAAGAAAAAGGAGAGAGAAGTGAGAAGAGATAAAAGAGAAGAAGAGGGAAGAGAGAAGAGAACATAAGAGGAAGAAGAGATGAGAGAATAGAAAAGAGGAAAAGAGGAGGGGAGACGATAAAAGAAGAGAGAGAAAAAGAGGAGAGGAGACGAGAAAAGAAGAAGAGAAGAGACGAGAAAAGATAAGAGAGATGAGTCATGAACAGTGATGGTCATTGTCGTTCATGACAGAAGGGAGAGAAAGGAAGGAACATGGACGGTGATGGGTTCCGCCATCCACGACAGAGAAGAGAGAAAGGGAGGAGAAGCATGGACGACGTTAGGCTCTGTCGTCTATGACAAAGGAGAGAAGGAGAAAGAAAGAAGAAAATGAATGGCGATGGGCTTCCATCATCCATGGCAAGAGAGATAAAGAGGGAAGAGGAGAAACATGGAGGGCGATGGGGTTCCGTCGTCCATGACAAGAGAGAGAGTAAGAGAGAACATGGACAACGATGTTCTACCGTCCATGAAAGAGGAGAGAGAAAGGTGAGAGGAGCATGGACGGTGTTAGGTTCTGTTGTCCATGACAAACGAGAGAGAAAGAGAGAAGGAAGGAACATGGACTGCGATGGGCTCCGCCATCCATGACAGAAGAGAAAAAGTAAGAGAGAACATGGACGGCGATGGGTTCCACCATTCATGATAGGAGAAAGAGAGAGAGCAAGAGAGAACATGGACAACGATGGGTTCCACCGTCCATGACAGAGGAGAGAGAGACATGAGAGAGAAAAGAAAGGACACGCTCGGCTTTAGGCATCACCGTGCATTTCAGAAGAGACTCAGACATGACCCTGCCCGCCACTTGGGAAAGGGCCTAATTATATGCCTTTGTCAGAGGATAGGGGAAGAAACATAGACGACGATAGGTTCCATCACCCATTACAGAGGAGAGAGAGCAAGAGAGAACATAGACGGTGATGGGTTCCGCCGTCCATAATAGAGGAGAGAGACAGGAGAGAGAGAAAAGAAAGGACACACATGGCTTTAGGCATCGCCCTGTGTGTCCAAAGAGACTTAGACACCACCCGGCCCGCCACTTGGGAAAGGGCCCAGTTTTGTGCCTTTGTTGAAGGAGAAGAGAGGAAATGTCACGCGCGGCGGTGAGGAACGTCGTGTGCGACATGCGAGAGAGAAATTTATATAGAGGCTTGGCCCACAACTTGGGTCAAGGCCCGGCCCACTGTATCCATTCCAAAAGATAAGAAAATAAGGGGAATGTCATGCGCAGCGATGGGCAACGCCGTGCTGACTAGGAGAGAGAGAGAATGAAAAAGAACAGAGAGATAACAAAGGAAGTAGAGAGAATAGAAAGGAAAGTAGAGAGAGAAAGAAAGAGAAAATTAGAAAGAGAGAAAAAAAGAAAGTAGAGAGAGATAAAGAAAGAGAGAGAGTTTAAGAAAGAGAAGAAAAAAAAAAATAGAGAGAAAGAAAGAAAGAGAAGATTAGGAAAGAGAGAGAAAAGATTATGAAAGAGGGGGATGAGAGAGGAAATAGAGCATAGAGAAAAGAGGAAAGAAGGGAAAGAGAGGCATGCACGACAGTGCCTTCTACTGTACATGTTGAGAGAGAAGAGAGACACAAAAAAGAGAAAGAGAGAAAAAGACAGAAGAAGAGAGATAAAGAGACACATGCAAGGTGATGCTTACTACCATGCATGTTTGAGGTAGAGAAGAGAGAGAAAGAGAGAAGAAGAAGAGGAGAGAGAATAGAGAGAAGAGGAGAGAGAAATAGAGAGAAGAGAAGAGAGAAAGAAAGAAGAGAAGAGAGAAAAAAAGAAGAGGAGAGAGAAGAGAGGAGGAGGAGAGAATTACCTTCACTTAGAGATACCAGACATTTACTTCTCTCTCCTTTCTCTCGCTTTCCAAGACGTGCCACAATCTCAAGACTGAGACTCTCAATTTTTATTCATGCAGTTGAGGCTTTTTTACAATGAGACATAACATGTATTTATAGAGTTGGGCTCAAAACATGGGTGGATGTCCAAAATTTACCTTAATTGCTAAAAATACAATTTATTTGAATTAAAAGAAAATCTAAAAATGGGTACAAAATTACTATTTTGCCCTTGCCCAACAATACACGAAATTCCAAAATAGTACCTGCTGCAACCATGGAACGTATTCGATTTTCCTAGGATGATTCGGGGTTGCTCTGACGTTCGCATGGCCAAAAGATGATTACTTTATCGTTGGACTTGCCATCATGATCAATTTGATACTAACTTCGAGCCATGAGTCACGTATTTAAGCCATGATCATGCTGAAATTTGTACGATCAATAGTGCTTTCGTTTCTTGATGTATTTCATTGGTTTCTTTGCTGAATTGCACTAAGAATGCTGGTACGACCGTGTTGCAACAACAATTTCATACCCGAACGAAGATTTTACAATTTTGGTTTTTGGGTTGGAATTTAGATTCCGATGGCCAGAATTCTGTAGAAACTTTAACGTCATCGTACGCGAAATCTAATTATTTGTCACGCAAGAAGTTTGGGCCAGTGGTAACCTTGGACCTTACTAACGAGATGCAACTGGTTTCGCATCGATCGGGTGCACGAGCGTCGTGATATATAAGATGGGCTACTGCTGATTTTCTGCAACTCTTATTCTCGAATCGTCATCTTCTCTCTAGCTATTCTCCCTGTTCAGACATCGTCAAGCAACGTACCACATATCAAAACGCTCATCTTGACGAGACGAATACGTTCGCAAACTTGAGTGCGACCCGACTCATAATGAGGGAGATAAGCGTCCCGCAAGTTACTGGTCGTGACTACGAAAACCAGTCCCCTTTAGTGGAGACTGGTGCAGGGAGGGCCTACGGGAATAGCGTGTGGCCTACCCATCTTCAATCTTTTACCCATAACTTCATCTTGGATTATCCATTTAAGCTGAAACTTGACCCTCGGGGGTTTTCGACCGTGATGAATCCAATAGCTGCAGTTCGACAGCCATTTGACGCTCTGAAAATAGGGTTTCAGTTACAGGGTATGTTTCAGGGTGTTAAAGGCTAATTTTTCCAAAATTGTTTCTTTGTCTGTACTGCCTTAGATTTGTCAAATTGCGATGAAACTTGGCAGGTGGCCTTTTGGGGTACTTAGGAAGATCCTCACTTGTTCGGGGGAAATTTTGAATCTGTCAAAAATTTCACTGTAAGTTAGGGCTTTATTGACCGGCTTCTCTTTTATTCTGCATCGGGGACCCAATGTGCTGAAAAATATCTTCAAACAATTTTTTTATCCCAAGACTATGTAAATTACATCATCATCATTGGATAGATAATTTTAAAGTAATTTTTAGTTATTAAAGCCGCTCATAAAGTAGAGATTGTTCTTATTGAGTAAAAAGAACATGTCTTAATTTTTCTTTAAGAACTTCTTCATTGACTTCTCAATTAGGGGCAAGAGGATGTGCATATGAAGTATGTGATAAAACATATGTATTTATGACTATCAAATTTGAAATGGTAATTATTAGAGTTACCCTTTAGGCAGGCGCGTAGTTGGCAAGTACGTAATTAAGTGTGAGTTTTTTTTTAAAAGATCTTCAAAAAGTCATATTTTTTTTATGGAACCTATATGAATGCCCATATTATGTTTTTTCATAAAGCCTATTTCTAATAAGCTTCACCCATGTTTTAAGCCTTCATCTTTCAAACTCTCCTAGACCTGTCTTTCTCTTCATGAATTTGATATATTTGAACTTTTGTTTTGATTTAATTCTAAAAAAATGGGATTAAATCGAGAATTTCACTTTAACCAAAAACAATTGAAATATCTCATGGCATTAAATCAAGAAACTTGATTTGACAAAAATTTTTATTAAAAAAATCATCAATATTTTCCTAAACTCACATATTCTTCATCCAAGAAAATTGATTTACAAAGAAAATGTTCTAATATATTGTAGGAAAATATACATTCTCCCAATAAAATGTTACCTTTTAATATGTGGTAGACTTATAGGAAGAGTAACCTATTGACTCTTTTTTTCTCTAAACTGATAATATTACAGTGAGGTTCAAATATTTGGGTTTGTTTATGCAGGTGTAAGCTTTATTTTATTTTCACTTTGTACACATTAGTTTTATTGGTTTTATTTTTTAAATTTTTATTATGTGACTAGTGTACATAATACCATATTAAGGATGAATTGCTATTTTACATTTTATGAGTCTTTGTTAATCGCAATTTAAATATTAATTTTTCTCTCCAATAATTTGAAACTTCATATTCTCATTCTCATTCTCGTTATCTATTATTGTAATTATTTTATGTAGTTTTGTTGTTGTTACTGCAGTATATGTTCCCTGCAAAATCATTGTAAGTTGTGTGCTAGGACAGATGAAGAAAGCCCTCCTTCTTGTTATATTTAATGAAAAACTTAAGGCAATTTACTGAGTTAGACATTGAATGCCACAAAGTCATGGAAAAATTAATATGCAATGCCTTGATTGTATCATCACAATAATTGAAAACTGTAGATTCATTTTATGTCATTGATATGTTTTCACTATTTTATAATTAAATATGAAATATTCATAGATTAACTCACCTAATTCTTGACAATCTATGTCTTTGCCTTGATATTTTGCTTCCTATTTTTCATACCAAAACCACTTTATTGATGATTTTTTGGTTTGCCACCACATTGTTGTTCCTCAATTTGCAAACTGTAGATTGTTTAAGGTAAAGCGCGGCCTTATAGAAACCTCATCCTTTCCATAATAAAATCGAAAATAAATAAATAAATAAAAAGTTTCTCTAATATTCTATAATAAAATCGAAAAATAAAATAAATTAATAAAAGGTTTCTCTAATGCAAGCGGCGAATGCTTATAGAAGTGCGGGATTTCCCTCTCCCAAAAACCCTTGCGCTATGTCTCTCTCTTTCTCTAAAGACCCCTCTCACTCTACGACACCCTAAATCCATCTCATTCCAATTCATCTTTCTCTTCTAAAACTCTAGGGTTTCACTCTCTCTTCCCTAGTTCTTCAGCATCACATATTTCATCAGCAATGGAGTAATGGCGTGAGCAACTTCTCTTCCCTTTTAAAGCAAGCAATGGAATTATGGGGTGAGCAACTTCTCTTCCCTTTTAGAGCAAGCAATGGAGTTATGGGGTCAGCAACTTCTCTTTCCTTTTAGAGCAACAAACGTGTCCTTTATTTTTTATCTTTCTCTCTATACATATGTTTCTTGTTCTTATTTTATTCACAACACACAAGCGATCTCTTTTGCGATTGTGGATGTTCTAGGGTTTTTTCATTCTGTCGGTCTTTTACCATTTCAGACTATCAATATTGAGTTGCTTAATACATTTTGTGACATCCAGTAACAATGGAGCGTTTTGTGTGTATTATCCTATTTGTGCTTGTTTTCAATTTTATTTGTGTTAATGGTAGGTTCTACGAAGTACTCAATAGCTATAAACTTGTGTTTCTTGATAATCTCTGGTTTTAGTGGTTGAATTCATGATTATACAGCTTCTTTTTGGGGTTTAGCATGTATGGTTTTGGGGTTTAAGGTTATAACACTTCCATTATTCTTAAAACTCTAAGAAACAGGATTTGTCACATTTCTTGCCTGGTAATATATTTTATGGTGTTGAATCATGTCAAAAAAAAATAATTATATTTTCCGGTGCTGTAAAACGAAATGAAATAGAAACCCAAAAGTAAGATAAATTCCAGGAAAACCATATTGCTTACTGGTTATTCCTTTAAGCTTTAACCATACATATTTTTTGTTATCGATGAGTGTGTTATGACTAAAAATGGTGTGTCATGCTTTTAGTGGTGAAAGTAATCAACGGAAATTGTGTTTACATTGATGGTGTAACCAAGAGCGCAAATTTCTTATCAAGGTACTGTGGAGTTAATGGCTCTTGTATTAATGAAGGATAATCACTGCAAAATCTGGAGAAATAATCTTTTGTCAAATGTTCTTGCATGCTGTTTTTTTGTTGACTTTTGGTCATTACTCAAAGTTTACAGAATAACCAACGAAAACTTCTTGTATTGGTGAATGATATGATCATTTGAAAATCTGAAAAAAATAATCTTTTGTTAAATATTCATGCATGTTGTTTTTTGTTGACTTTTGGTCATTAGACATAGTTTACAGAATAACCAACTAAAACTTCTTATCTTTTACAGTAAAGCAATCTCATTGGTTCTTGCATTGCTGTTTACAGATTAGTTGATGCTATTTGTAATGGTTGTGGTTCACCTGTTCATCAATGCGTTTGTTTCTCTTGGCAAATTATGGGGTTAACATGGGTAGCTGGACCATTATATTTCCATGTTGATTTGGCATTAAAATTTTATTCGAATAGCTGCATCACATCAAACAAGGTTTATGTACATTAGTAGTTGGTGCCTATAAGAATACGCAGTGAACGAAAATTCGGCCGCCTTGCAGCCTAGGCAGCCTGGCTGACAAACCGGCTAGATGATGGTTTAAGTTTTTAGGGGCACTACTTCACGCTATTGGGTCGCATTTGCGTTCTTTAAAGTTCTAAAATCATAAGTTTGTAAGTTGTAACTAATAAAAATCAAGTATACATTGGGCCAAATACGAAACTATTAGAAGTTTAAAGAAAATAGATTACCTTGATTTGGTTTAGTCCTTTGTCTCACAACCATTTCCTTCCTAAATGATCTTAAAACACATTTGTATCTTGGATGTCCTTATCGGAAATGATCCTCTCAAGGCATTTATAGAAGCCACAATAATTGCATCTTCCTAAAAACGAAATAAGGTGCAATTGCCTTGTATGTGTAAAAGAATTTAAAGTTCAAGTACACAACTATATGCAAGAGCTGGTGAAGCTAGTAACAAAGAGGAAATTTTGACAAGGGTGAGAATACCTCAAGTGAGTCCACTACCCCACTTAAAGACTTGGACAAAATAGTGATGTATACCATCTTCCCTAGAGCGTGTTTGGACAACTAATATATATATATATATATAGAGGAAACTCTTCCCAACGCCTATAGACGAAAATGAACAATGATTTCGCCTACCTTCATTACCATCCAAATTTCATCGCACGGTCATAGTTGTCTGATAGTGTTTTAATTTTTATTGTTTTTCTACAAATTCAAATTACTTGAAATTTGGACCGTGTGTACATCTTAGTGAAGTGCATCTAATAAAAATATGAAGAAAAACAAATTCATAAAGTATAAATTGATCAAAATACCTCTAAAAATTTATGGGGTATTTTGGTCAATTTATATTTTACGAATTATTTTTTTCATATTTTTATTAGGTGTGCCTCACTAATATGTATACACGCTACAAATTTTAGATCATTCTGAATAGTAAAAAAAAAATGAAAAATAAAAAACTATCGGACAACTGTGACCATAGGATGAAGTTTGGATGGTGATGAGGGTAGGCAAAATCACTATTTATTTTCGCCTATAAGCTTTTTGTAATATCTTATCTATATATATATATATATATAGAAAATGATCCTGTGAGCTAGTGGGCTCACAACTAAAAATGAGCCCAACGTGGCTCCGATTGAATCTAAGTCGATCTGACGATCACGGATGTCCGATAGTGTTTGAATTTTAATTGTTTATCTAGAAATCCAAATCACTTGAAATTTTAGGTGTGTATTCATCAAAAATAGATGAATCTTTGAAAAATATCAAAAATATATTTTACATGAAAAAATTTGACCAAAATACCCTCTTTTTTAGGGGTATTTTGGTCACTTATGTTTTACGGATTATTGTTTTTATATTTTTATCAAGTGCAGCTTGATGAGAAGAACATATGTCTAAATTTTCAAGTGATTTAGATTTGTAGAAAAAAAATTTAAATTCAAATGTTATTGGGCATCTGTGATCGTCAGATCGACCCAGATTCAATCTGAGCCGTTGGGTCCATTTTTTCTTGTGAGTTTACTGACCCACATGATCATTTTCCTATATATATATATATATATATATTTTGTCTAAAGTCAGGAAAGAGATGGAAAATTTCGTGATCCCATGCCTGGTGGCTATTTTTTGGATACCATAAGCAACACACTACATCAACATTGGGCTAGAGGCTATTGGCGAAGTGCCAAGATGAAGGGGACACTTTATAGAGGTATGGTGACTGTGCTCATATCCTGTTGTAACTTTTCCCTTGGAATAGTATAAAATTTTCTAAAGTTAGGAAAGAGGTGGCAAATTTTATGACCTCAAACCTGGATGTATCCCTTTCCACAATGAAATTTTATACCATTCTAAGTGGAATGCTGCAACAGTATATGAGCAAAGTCTCTTTATATTTATCAAGTGTTCCCTTCCTCTTTGGTACTTCGCCAATAGCCTCAAGCATAATATTATGTATTGTGCGACTTATGGTATCCAAAAAGTACTAGGACGCTTTTGGAGCAATAAATATTAGGAGGCATATTGATTGTAGCCATGTCTATTGCCACCCATACAAAATGCTCCTCTCCGACTTCCTCAATACCCTTGTCAACCATAGGAAAAATATGTTGTGCATCATGAGCATCAGAAGAGGCATCAATAGATCTTAAAAATATAATACACCATCAGATACTTTACTCTCACGCTTCTTCTATCACTCCATGAGTTTATTGAGATTGAAACCCCATATTGCACCCATGCATGCTCGTGGGTATTGAGGTACTCCTTTCTCAAATATATCTCTTTATTTTAGCAATAGCCCCCTATGCACATAAGGTTTGGAGCCTTCAACCCTAGCCTATAGCTTCTGATAAACGGCATCGTATGAAGCGTTTTAGGTGGACATTATTAGATGGGCATCATTGAACACCATGCCCCGATACATCTCCCAATTAATATATTGACTTACATGGTCTTTCTTTTCTTTTTTTGAACTTGTTTCAGTAATAGCTTACTTTTTCCTTCTTCCCCTCCCTTTTTCTATATCATGTACGTCGCCGGTTCACCCTTGGGATTGCGAGGGGGTTGTGGAAGAGGACATGGACATAGGACCCTTCATACAAGATTTCTTAAACCCATTGATTATCTCTTGGTGCATTTTTTTGCATCCAGATCTTCTCTTATCTTCTCTCCCGAATATTTACCAGAACTTCCTGACATGGAGCAACATCTCGCTAATGCTGGTAGTGTTTTTTGTACCTACTAATACACCGATTTGTATTTTATTCACGACACTTTCACATGACTTTAATGTTTGGTTGAGGTTTAGAAGCGTTTAAGTTGTGGCTGGATGCTAGTAACTTGTTAGTTTCAACTGGCTTTGTTGGTCTTGTTTTGACCTTTATTTTCAAGGAGACAATCCTTTCATTGTCCTTCACTTTTTTGCTGCTTACTTCTTTGTATTTTTTGCCTTAATTCTCTTTTTATTATCCTTTACTCCTTTTTTTTTCTCATTTTTTTATGTTTCATTTAATTTATTCTTTGTCAAGTTCCCTTGTTGGAGATTTACTTATCTGAGTATCTCAATATGAATATGGTGGGCATTAAGGGTCTTGAGAATTTAATCCACTATGATGTGACATGATTACTAAATCCTAAATAACTGTAATTGCAGGACTTCCATGAGGATATGTTTGAGGAGCTCAGCAAGTATGGAGAGATTGAAGGCCTAAATATCTGCGACAATTTTGGCTGACCATGTGGTAACCGATATTTCTTTTTTGCAATCATTTGTTTTTAAACTAAGCGGTAGCCTTATTCTTTGAAACATCACATTTTCTTGCAAATTTCATATCGATGGTTATTATGGTGATAATGGTCAACTTTATGGGCAGGTCGGTAACTTGTACGTTTAGTTCATAGAGGAGGAACATGTAGCAAATGGACTATGGGCTTTGTCCATTAGATTCTCTGTGGGTAAAGTTTTTTCTCTGATCTTCTTCTACTTTTCTATATAACTTAGGTCTATCTCTACTAATACACCTATCACCGATTTTCGTGCAGGCAGTATGAGGAGAACACTTGCAATCGAAGTGGCTATTGCAATGTGAAGAAGATGAATAGGTCTCAGTCTAATTTGTTAGTTTCCTTCGAAACATCCAACCCATAAAGATTGAACCAACTACTCTAGCACTTGTGGGTTTGTTTTGTAGCTTACTTATTCTGGTCATATTAATTATTTTCACTTTCCTCAATAAAAATGGGTTTATTTATTTCAAGATCAAACCGGCTTCTTTAGTACCTATGTTGTCTTATGGCTTACCCCCGCAAGAATTGTTATTGCCTTAAAAACTGTAGTTTCTTACTGAACTAAATGAAACATGTAATTATGGACTCAATATGCATCATACTTACCCAAACGATCAAGATGTTTATGTATCATATAAAGTATGGATTTTCACTTGTCAAAATAAATGAATTTTCACTCACCTGAAGAAAAAGACCTGCCTCTCCGTTTGACTGTACAGCCATAATTTCGGGTTTCTTGCTTATTCAAAGAAATGATGGATAATTCAGAAAGAGATGTGGGATTGTTTACTTAACCGAGAAAAAAAATATGGTTATTGTATTTCGTGATGTATATGGGGAGTGATTTCATGCAACAGTTGTATAGTAATATAATGAAACAATATTTGAAAACCATGATAGGGCCATTTGTTTGATCCAAAATTTTAATATATCTACTATTTTCATTTTAATAAACAATCACCAAAAAATTGAAAACGTAACCTAGAAGGTGTTTTTTAACCCAATTAGTATAGGTTGTCCAGTTTGTTGAGATGTTTAGATCTAGTTTTTTAAAGGATCATTTTTATTTTCAATTTTTTTCGATAACTTTATTATCATTAGATTAACAATGTTAAAAAATAAAAGATTGATTTTGAATTCATAAAGGTCTAGATCTTGAAATTCGGTCTAGATTTATTGTTAGAGGGGAACTCATTTTGACCATATATAGGGTACAAATTTTTTTTTTTTTTGATAGATTGATTATTGAGATAAAGAGAGTGTGCAAAAAGAAATTTGGGTCATAAAAATACAACAAACATGGTATTCTAGAAATATGGTTTCAGTATATTATAATGACATGATGACATGACATCATTTCTCAATATATATGGCAAAAGTTTTTATAAGGTTGCAACCTTAAAATGTAGAATTAAAGATGCATTTCAAATTTCCATCGAAATGCACTTCAAAGTTTATAATCTCGACATCGAGATGCATGAATACGAAACCAAAAAAAAAAAGATTTTCAGTCTTATTAATAGTGCATCTTGCAACACATTATCTGGACCGACTATTTTTAAGATTTTCATATATATATAGATCCACTTGATTTTAACTATTTTTGAAGTTTAAAATTATATAATTAGACATGAAAATGGATTTTCAAATAATCATAAGATTTTTTTTACACCAAATTACATGTTAAATTTGGAGGTGTGCCTTAATTGGATTGTTTAATGTTTCAACCTTACATAAACCACACCCTCATTGTGTTGCAATATACATTATTCCTCGGATTCAAAATCTTTTTATTTTAATATTTATATATCTCGGTATCGGGATGATCAATTAGAGACATTACACCCTCGTATAAACTTTTTCCGTATACATATAAGAAAGCTAAGATACGCCCACTCGCGTATGGGATGAGGTAGGCCAACGGCTACGATGAAAGAAGGGTAAATCGATGGCTGTGATGGGGGAGGCTTAAAATCAATTTGAAGCCTGTAACAACGTGTCCACTCCGCACTTTTCTCTTTCAATCATACCACCCGTGGCATCTCCCGTCGCCCTCTCAATATTGTCCCACCTGTCACACCCACCCCGTCGCTCGCTCTCTCTCTCTCTCTCTCGCCACCGAAAGGCAGGAATCATTTGAGCGATACTAAGGTATTCGAAGGTTTCTTGAATTCTATGTTTCTATTGCTCTGTGAATCTTTTTTCCTTAGTTTTAGACCTTATTTCGTTGATTATGTATTGATTTGATATGCTCTTCAAATAAATGGGATGTATTAGGGTTTCTTAGTCGCTGCATGTCGAATAGCTTGAATTTTTGTTATTGATAACTCTTCCTTATTTTTCTCTGTATTGGATCGGTTCTTTTAGAACTGAAATTGACATGGGGTTTTGTATAGTAGAGTTACCGAATCTTGATGAAGTGCGTCGGCTATTTCTTTCTTGGCTTTTCCACCATTTCAATTGGCGGTGGGGACTGTGGAAGGATATATGAACGACAGAGATTTTCACCATGAATGGAGGCCAAGGAGCCGAAGCCCTTGAGGAAGAAGGTAGAGTCCTGGTCCGAGGAGGGATAGGAGCTCAGTTAGAGAGGGAAGTGCTGAGAGGAGAGCCAAGATTGAGCAATGGAACCTAGAGAGAGAGAGAGCAGAAGAGCACTGACATTGGTAACTCTCTTCAAAATGGAGATGATCAGTAGAAATGGCAAAACAACCACTAAATTGGTTTGTCCCTTCTACTCTTGAACTGAATTTTCTTTTGCTTTCTCTTTTAATTTTTTTTTACTGAGCTCGAAAGTTTAATGGTTATTGTTGCCAACCCTCGTCAGTTTAAAATCCCAGATTGGTTCCTTAATAGAAAGTAGGATTACAAATATGGCAGGTTCTCTCAGGTGGGGTCAAATGCATTGGACATGAAGCTGAGGGATGATCTCGAGCGGTTTTGAAGATCAGTTGTGTAATAACTGATAACTCATGATTCAATTTTTTTTACTGTTAATTTATTTTACTATTCTATCTTTTCTTTCTAGATCTTATTTTTTCTCTCTCCATAAAGAATTTAGGGCTTTTTCACTCAATCTTTATGATCTTTTAGATCAATCTTTATCTTCTTTTAATCAATCTTTATCCTTTTGAGATCATCTTGTATTAGATTCATCTTTTAGATCAATTTTTATCAGTTTTTTAGATCATTGATCATCTTTGTCTTTTATATTGATCATCTTTTATATTCATCTTTTAGATCCATCTTTTAGATCATCTTTGTTTTTTAGATCATCTCTAGATCCATCTTGATCATCTTTTATATCATTTTTATCATGTTTTTTAGATCTTTGTTCATTTATCCTGAGAGCATATTCTTTGTCTTTTTGGATCATTCTTATCTAGCATATTTATCTTCTTTAGATTATCCTTATCTTTTTTTAGGTGCATCTTTGTTTTCTTTTAGAAAACACCTTTTTAAAAGCATAGTTATCGCTTTGATTGGTTTTTGATATATGTTTTCTGCTGCAGGATGTGTTTTGATAAGTGTATTCGTGTTTGTTTGATCATGTTCCCAGTATTGCAGTTCTTCTGTTTAACTTGTTGGGTTACACATGATTAAATATTTTGTAGCATGAATGGAAGTTACTTTAGCTGGAAGCTGAGCAATTAACATGTATTTTTTTTGGTAATCGATGTCATGTTCCATCATGATGGATGAAATATTTAACAGAACCATGATAAAGTAAAATTGGTTTGCGCTCATGACTAGGTTTTGATATCTAATTGTACAATTATTCCTATTTTCTGTTATAGTACATATGAAAGTGTTGATTTTGACATTCCCTTTTTATCGATGCATAGTATGATTTGTGTTTCTTGATTAAGGGGAGACTACTTGTATTTGTGAAATCTTTTTATTGTATTTTGGAACTAAAGAATGATGGTTGATTGAAGAATCCATAACGAAAGTTTCTTGCTTTGGTCTTATCAAACTGTAACCCCATGCGATGTCTTTTGAGCTGAAGTTTCTATTAACCATCGTTGATTGTGCATTTTGGTTGGCACTTGGCAGTTTACCAAAACATTCTGATGTTATGGTCCTCTATATTATGAGTTTCCTACTCTTTAAATATTGGTGCGTTGTGATCTTGGCCTTTGATTCCATTCAACATTACCTTGATTGGTAATGTGTCTAATCTGAGAATGAACAATGTCAGAAATGGTATGTCCATTTGGTTCTAGTGGAAAGCCTGGATTGACTAATTTGAAGCTTGAGTTCATATCCAGCACTGGAAGCACATTTTATTTTTATGATTTACTATGTTGTGCTTTTTTGAAATGAAACTTTTCTGAATTGAAGGTGTTCTCATGGGAACAGTTCTGGTTCCTGATGTTTGAATGTAGGTTCAGTTCGAAAGATTTATATGTATCATCCACTTTTTTTGTCCTGCTGTTAAATTATCATGAAGCATTTCCATGATGCTTATAATGTTGCTGACTAATGAGAATTACATGTGCATGACTGGTTGGTTCTAATTCTGTGGAGTAAGTGTAGAAAAAGAGAGGCTCCTGTATATTGCTGAAGGCAGCGTACCTATGAGTGAAAGCATTAGGCAAGTGTAGAAAAGGAGAGGCTCCTATATATAGCTGATGGTAGGACACCTATGCCTAAAAGCATTAGGCATATCATTGCTTATGAAGTTGATTGGGATTCTTATATGTACAGTTCTTTAGTCGTGTATAACACGCTTCTGGAGGACCAATTTCCTCCTGGACCCTGTAATCATGTCCAAGCCTTCCTCAGTCTCTTTAAGGAAGCATGGTCAATGAGTCTAGACATGTTTTGATATCAAACATACTCATTTTGGAGATCCCTTGGCCAGCTTTCTGACACCTCAAACTGTCCAGTTGGGATTGCAGTGATACATCATTTAGTGTACTGTAGTTCAGGACTATGCTTTAACTCTTCAATCTAAAAGAAAGAAAGCATGCCCCAATTTCTGGAGGTATGACATCCTTGTGAAAGTTTCCAATGATACTCTACTTCCTGTAGTCAGGAATTTCTGGAGGTCGGACATCCTTGTAAACTTTTCCAATGACACTCTACTTCCTGTAGATAGGCCTCGGAGCTCTCGAGGTCATTATGACTACTAATGTTCTGGTTGTCCTTATTCTAACTTGTCCATAATATTTATTTGTCCATATTTTGTAGAAAAAGGAATTTGAAACATATGGTATGTGCAGGGGAACTAGAGTTGGACATACCCTCACACTTTCTTTCGAATGGTGGATCATCACAATCTGCTGTGATATTCCAATATGTCACACTTTCTATGCGCTCAACATTCTTTAATGTGCAAATGTATTCGCTTTGTTCAACATGCTTGCACTTCGAAAAAGCAGTTGTTTCAGCTCTTACCAGCGATATCCATGCATTATGATTTATAACTCAAGGAATACAATTAATCTATTTATCTTAGACTGATCATATTTTTTTTATTTTATCCATTTTATTAATAATTCCTTTTGCGAGTGGCAGTTCAATTTTTTAAAATTATTTAATCCTGACAATTATTTGTTCAAATTTAAAAGGAAAACAAAACATTTATTTGTTGGATCTTTTATTGTCTGTTCGACTTTCTATAGCCGTAGGAGACTTACTGTTCTGTTTTTGATTGTTCATTCCTTTGGGAATAGAAGTGCTTGATACAAGGGAAGTTCATGTTAATCATGTGTTCCCACTTCAACTATCATTATCTGATGTGAATATAGGTTCTCTTGCCCGTCTGTTTTCTGGCTTTCTGTTCTATTTTTTTTTGTGGTATTATGTTTATTTGTCCTGAATTCATCATTGATAAGTGGAATTTTTTATGGTACCTGATTGAGGATGAGTCTGATCTCTAGGTTGCTATGAGTCCAGTTGTGTTTCTTTTTTTACCTCTTTTCAGTTTTGTGGAGTTATTATAGCTTCATATTCTTTCTGAAAGAAGTTGGTTGAGGATGATTATGATAATCCCAGCTCATTAGGTTTGCTTCGTTTTTTGCTCTCTCCATCCAATGCCTTGCATCATGGGTTGGTTGCATTTGCAAGAATCTTGTTTAGTACTTACTGCGAATTTTCCACTGTGCAGGTGGTGTGCAGGTCCCTCTGTTTTGTGATATCAAATGTGAATTTTTCCATTGGGTTTCTGATTTTTCGTTCATCAGACCAGTTCTTTTGTTTCTTCCTATGCTTTGTATCTTTTGCCCTCACTTTGTGGACACAGGAATGGATCTCTGACCACGTTTTTAGGCAATCCATGGAATGCATGTGTTAGTTGGCTTATTGATCAAGGATGCCTAATATTTCTATTGTCATGCATGTGTCTGTATTGTTTGAGCTGCCCACCATGTACTAAGCATTTTAGCCATAGACTAAACCTTTTTGCTATGGCCATACAGAGCTCATTCACTGTGGACTAACCATATTTATCATGGCAATGAGAGCTTATCTGTTGAATTTCGCCTTGTTCCTTAAGAATCAGGGTTTTGTTGGAGTTTTTCCCATGGCCATAAGAACTGGTCGAATCTGGCCTCGTCCCCAAAAACATTTAGGGCTTTGGATGAGTTTTCTCCATTGCCTTTGATGTTTCATCTTCCCAGTTACATGGGGACATTTGCATAGAAGAACTCGGGTAACTCTGCACTTTCACTGGGCATCACTACATGTCTGGTTTTTGTGAATTTTGAAAATCTTTTGTGCTTATGCTTTTCCATTGAGTTTTTGCAAGTTCACGTATCGCTGATCCTAAGGATCAATTATTTTTATGCAGCTTTATATGCAATTTTTTTACAGGTTGGGTGCATTGGCCATGCATATAAGGCCGAATGCAGAAGAGAGGTCGTAAAATGAACCCCGGCAGTTGGCGGTCTTTTAATTAGGTATGCAATAATCTTATAGTACAAATTTCCCCAAAAAGGGTATCATCTTATGCTGCAGGTTTGGTGTAGCAAGAAGAGACTTCAAAATCATGGTTACTGTGTTTTTCTCAGATTTGTAATATGAGCTTTCATTTTGCAAGTTTGTAGTTACACATGAGCTTCATATAAGAGTGGTTGAGTGGCTTGTATATCTCTTTAGAAAGGTACTTCTGTTGAATGGAAATGGTGCAAGCTTTCTTTAATTTGTTCTTTTATTGTTCTCTATACGTTTGTTTTGTGCTCTCTCTCTGTCTCTCTCTCCGTTTTTTTGTTTGTTTTTTTCTGAATTTTGTGACTCTCTATCTGAATTTGTTTTCTTTGTTTTTTCTGAATTTTTTTTGCTCTCATCTTAGAGATAAATGCCTTATAGATTACTAGACATGGAGAGACGCACAGAGAGGCAAAGTTGAAAGGTAGAAAGCAAATGCACTGAGGGATTGCAATGGACCCAGATCCAACCCACGACCCGAGGGGTAGACTTGATCTGGGTCCGGATATGGGTTCGTGGATTCGAACATTATTTGGGTTTGGATACGGGTCTGGGTCTGGTAATATTTTTAGGGTCTAGGTCCGGGTCTAGGTCTCAATTAGATATAGGTACATATCTATGCAATATTAGTAAGACAAGTTAAGGGTTGACACATGTCGCCAAATTAAGATGGGACCTTAAATTTTGTAGAGGTTGTGGGATTTTAATTTTATAGAGGTTGTTGGAGACATTCTAAGGGAAGAGTGATAGATAGATTATACATGCATTCTTTTTTAAAGAAAGAGAGTACGCAAGTATCTCACTTTTAAGGGAGAGAGAACGCATGCATCCGACGTTTTAAGGGAGAGAGAACGCATGCATCCGACGTTAAGGGAGAGAGAGAGTACGTATGCATCATACCTCTAAGGGGAGAGAGTAAGTATGCATTCTATAGTAGGTTTGAATATGCATGAGATTGCAATCTTCGTATGATTCAACTCTTACATTTTGAACCTTCCAATTTCGATAAGCGACCAATATTTAGATATATCTTATCTTGATCCATTTTCTTATCTCAACTACATAGTGTATGAAAGTGATTTTTGATTGTTTGGGGAGATAGAAACTAGAGAGAGAAATTTGTGAGGGATGTGTGTAGCGCGCACGCAAGAATCCCATCTTTTAAGGGAATGATGGAGACTATGCATTCTAGAATGAAAAATGATCCAATGCAAGTATCATAGTATAATGGAACGATACTTCTAAAAATTATGTTTGTGGTATTTATATGACTTCAAAGTTTGCGCACACAGTCTCTTCATCTTAATAGTCAATTCTCCCTAAAAAAAGAAGTTCAATTTGAACCTTAGATATGGTCAAAATGAGTCCTCTTCAAAAACGAATCTAGACTATTCATTTTGTGAATTTCAAGATTTTAGCTTTTATAAACTCAAAATTATTTTTTTATTTTTTAACATTGTTCATCTAATGATAATAAAGCTATACAAAAAAATTGGAAATGGAAAAAATCCTTCTAAAGCTTAGATTAAAGCATCTCAGCAAAATGAACGCTTTATGTTAATTGGACTAAAAAAATACTTTTTAGGATGTGTTTTCAATTTTTTCTTTTTTCGTGATTGTTCATTAGAATGAAAAGAGTGTATATTTCAAAATTTGGATCAAACAAATAGTTATAAGCTATTTTTTTAAGGTTGTTACATCATATTACTATACAACGGTTGCATGAAATTATCGGCCTTCTAGAATAGGTTTGAAAATGCATTGTAATCTTTATCTCTTTCTATTCTAAAATAAGTTTTAATATCTATCTCTTTCTACTTGCCAAATCCTTAGAAAATAGGTAACAATTCCTAAAATTTAGAAAAACAACCCAAAAATACTCGATATTCGAAAAATCCTTTAGAAATTTTTTAAAAAGTTAAAAAAAACCCAAAAAATTACAAAAATCCCCAAAATTTGGATTCTACCTTAGGAAGTTTCAAAACCCTTAGAAATCAAAGGAAAACCTTCTCCAAATCCCGGAAAAGCTTAGGTAGACCCTATACCCTCCGACTAGAAGGTAGCAACAACAATTGAAAAGTGGTCGGAATCTACTAGCGAGTTCAAAGTTTTCTAGTGAACAGTGGCCGGACTCAGGCGATTCTCTAAAGCCACTTGTGGAGACTCCTCGACTTGGTAACTTAGACCGTTCCTCGGAGTCCACAAGGTCATGTGTTCCAGCTCAGCATCTTTTAAGATGAGTAGCGGGGGTTGGAGAACACACTTTTTTAAATTGTGGAGTATATATAGTGTGGGTGTACCTTTGGTTTTAAATAGTTGTGAGCCAATTGTATCCAAGGGAGTCATTCACGAAATGGAGCACATATGGTATGGGTGTACCTTTGGTTTTAAATGGTTGTGAGCCAGTTGTATCTAAGGGACTCTTTCAAGGAATGGAGCGCATTTGGTGCGGGTGAACATTTGGTTGTAAATGGTTGTGAGCCAGTTGTTTAGTATCATATTCCATACCTCTCTGCCATTCAACTCTATGCAGATACCTCGAAAGGTGTTGTGTATGTA